TGTATTCTTTCTTTTTTTAATAATCGGCTTTACTCTCGCGCAACCAACTTGTACATAAATACAAGTTATAGTGCAACTTTGCGCGAAAGTCATCGGCAGAATTGAACTTTTTTTTCGTTTTCTATTTTTTCTTTTTTTTTTTTTTTCTTCTTCTTCTACATATTTTTCGCGTGTTTATCCGTTTCGTTTTTTTTCTTTTTTTTTCTTTTTTTTTTCTTTTTTTATTTTTCATGTGCTTTTTTTCTCTCTTTTTCTCGTTTTATTTTCATTAATGTTTTTCTTCTCTATCTACTTATCGTCTTACAAAGATTTGAGAAAGACGCAATTTTGGTACGAATTTCGAATTTAAAAAATGAAAAAGAGTCCCGCTCGTATTTTATCATTTTCCTGTTATAATCATCCTTCCGCTTTTTTCTCATCATTCTTGAAAAAAAAAAAAAAAAAAAAAAGGATGAAGTAGTAGTCCGTGGATAATGTTCCGCTTATGGCTTAGGGTACCGCCAGTCTTCTGACGTTGTAACGGCAATGATTACGGCCAAGAACGTCTTCAGAAGGAATTTCCTCCTCGAGAGGCTCCATTCCAGCTGCAGCCATCCTGTCACGCACCTGAGAACAAAAAGCCATGAAACTTGTTTGGTTTGCTTGGACGTGTTTGGATGAATACATAGTCAATTCTAATTTCATAAAGTAGTAATTAGGGCAAAAGTTAGGAAGAGAGAAGCTCTCTTTTTCATAATCCGTCCTTTCAAAGGACATCTCTCTCTCTCTCTCTCTCTCTCACTCTCTCTTGAATAATAAGTTTTAACTCGGTTCTGGACCTGTCGTGTACGAAAATTCAGTTGAGCCATGACGACGTACGTGGTTCGATAAATTACGCGTTGGACTTTCTTTGAAAGAAAACTTAAAAATACATTCGTATATTTCTTTTTTAAATATATCATAATATACATATGTACTTGTAATAATAATACATATAGAGGTATCATTCTGCCAATGGAGAACTCGATCATCGTTCTTGTAACAGCCTCAATTTGGCACTTATGGACGCAGAACTCGTTTACATATCTATACATATGTATATTACCTAACAGTGTGCGCTGCGAGTTTCATAGTCGCGAATACTAACGAGAAAAATCGCGCCCGACGATTGCACGGTTTTAGCGAAGAGTAAAGGGATGAATAGAAGTGGAGCAAAAAATAGAGAAAGAACGCGCGGGCGCGAGAGAGAGAGAGAGAGAGAGAGAAAACGGGATGTCGAAGGACACAAAACATAAAAGTTACATATATATCTATGTATAATGCGTATGTACATGTATATAGATGTATGAAAGAGAAAAAGAGAGAAAGAGAGAGAGAGAGAGAGAGAGAGAGAGAGAGAGAGAAAGAAAGACAGAAAAAGGTTGGTTGGTACTTCGCGTATTTCATAGGAGACTGCACAGAACCCATCAATTTTCTCTAAGTCCATTAACTTTCTACAGGCATTACCGTCTGCCGTAGACTTTCATCCATGGGCGAATAATAACCGATATTCTCATATCGAAATTCTCTTTTCCCGTTAACTTTTATTCTTTTTCCTTATTCAAAAATTTTTTTTTTTTTTTATTTCATTCCATTTCAATAGTTCTTCCTTTTTTTTTTTTTTTTCTTTTTCTCGTAGTTCGATCCGCATCAAAGTTTTCGGATATAGTACCTGCATGTTTATTTTTATTATTGTTTCTCGTTTGCAAAGAGATATAGAATAAACTGCAGGATGTGTTCCCTCGAGTTTCCTATTTTTCTTCATAGTTCTCGATAGGTGCAATAGGACGAGAATAGTACGAGAGCGAGTTGTTTTTCGTACAGGCACATCCTAATCAAATCTGCTTTTATTGTCGCTCTCTTCTGTTCGTTTTTCATATAAAAGATCCCTCGGTCGGTTTTGCATGTATAGTTCTATACGGTAGACACACTTTCTTCTTTTTTTTTTTTTTCATCTCGTGAATGCTCCCTCTCTCTCTCTCTCTCTCTTTCTTTCTCTTTCCTTCTCTTACCCTCTCCATTTTTTCATTGGTTTGGAAATTAAAACTTCTTTGCTTTTTTCTTCTCTTTTTTCTCTTTTCTCTTTCCTCTCTTTCTTTCTTTCTTCCTTCCTTCCTTTTTTTTTTTTCTGAAACATTTGTGACGCCAGGAACCGCGAGAAATTACAAAAGAGGATTAATGTGTCGGTGGATGAAAAACTGTTCTTTTTTTTTTTTATCCCTGACAAATACAAAGAGACGATTTAACGGGAAGAATAAGAGAGCATGTATTAATCATTACTTCATTCAATTTTCTTTCTCTCTCACCCCCTCTCTCTCTCTCTCTCTCTCTCTCTCTTTCTCTCTCTCTCTTTCTCTCCTTATCGAGAGTTCAACTTTTATATGAAATTTTTTTTTTTTTATATGAACTTTTTATCTCGCAATATCTTGCAATGCAATAAATAATAATAGAAATTTCATTATGTTAACCGTGCAAAGAAATAGAACAGTTTACATAATAGCTACGTTAGCATGATCATGCTTATAATCGATTCATTTTCATACAGGACTGTACTAGCGTCGTACTTTAGGACTCGTTCGTGGAGAAATTTTCGAGAAAGGGGGAAGGAAAAGTGGTCTTACGAAACAGGCTCAAAGTGTCTTCAAATTTCACTTGCATTCTCTCTTGGGCTATGGCAAGACTTCTTAAGTGTGGGAGAGGGAGTCGTGGAACTCTTCCCGTAAAGGCAATGCCGGAATTGAATTTCAGAGGTACCTAATCGCCAGCAGTTTGTTCAGGCAGCGATAGGCGTGACTATTATTTCAGCAATTACGAGGCTTCTCGCTTTGCCCTTAACGAACACCTTCTCTTAAGTCCTTCGTCTTTCTTCTTCTTCTCGTTCTTCTTCTCCTCCCCCTTCTTCCTTTTCTTCGTCTTTTCATTATCTTCTTCACCTGTATGATGAAAGTGAAAAAGAGGAAGTAGTAACTGAAATTACTCAAAGACTTCATCTTTGAATTTCTCTCTCTCTCTATCTCTCTTTCTCTTTCTTGTATTTCTCTTTCTCTCTTTCTCTCTTTCTCCCTTTCTCTCACTATATATCATTTTCACGTTTGGAGAACAATGCATTACTAATTCAATGGACGATTGTAATGAAGTCGCTTTCACTCGTCCTCCAAGAAATTTTTACAGAAACAATTAGATAGATAGATAAATAGATAAATAGATAGGATAGATAAAGAATAAGTGAGTGAGTGAGTGAGTGAGTGAGTGACTTACAGGAGTCCAAATTTCCGAAGCTATAATTATAATTCATTTTTATTCGAAAATTTAATTAAAAAAAAAAAGAAAAAGTCCTTGCTTATGACGTTAACGAAAGAACTTCGTAGCTCATCTCTCCTTAAAAAAAGTTCGTTGGGCGTCTTAACGTTCAAGTCGTTATTAAAAGAAAATTTGTTAGAAACAACCCCGATCCATAAGTCCCGTCCTCTTTCTTTTCCTCTGACTTTTTCGCCGTTAAAATGAAATGATTTCACCCTTCGGAGTTAATCGTCGGAAAATGTGAAATATGACAAACGATGTTAAGGTGGAATAGCACTCGTCTTCCGATTTAATAAACGGCCGTTGCTCCAGACAAATTACAACCGCAATTTCGTGGCTACCAGCGTACGCCACAATTAAATTATTGTTGTAATTTCCAGGACAGTCATCTGCAAACGTGCTCGAGCGTCCGTAACGTCTGTGAACACGATCGCAACGATGTCTCAATTTAAATAGTTTCTCTCTCTCTCTCTCTCTCTCTTTCTCTTTTTCTCTTTTCCTAATAAATTCTCAATCATGTGGCATATATACATGTAAATGTATTATTACAAGTATCTTCAAAATTTCAATGAAAGGTTAGATGCTCATCGAGCGAGTAAGAAAGAACGGTATCACATAAGCATCGTGTATAAAGTAGGCTTGAAATTTCGTTAAAGCCATCCAGAGCGTGCTTCGGGTCTCTCGAAATGGGCGTCGTTCTGGCGATTTCATATATAGAACAGTCGTGTATTACACACAACTTAGACATAGTATATGTAATATATATATATATATATATATATATATATATATATATACGTATATAGATATAGATATATAGTATAGATATACATAGGTTGAGAGCATAGGGGGATAGAGAACGAGTGGTCGGAGGATCGAGCCAGCTGGTTCTAGGATTGGCAGTACTCCAAGAGAGCAAAAATTGTCGATGCCTGTACGTATTCCACCAACCCTTCTCGTTCCTCTTTCCGTAACCTCGTGGCACACTCATGCAACTTTGGATGCATGATTTGTGTGCTTTATTAAATCCGATATTGGTTGACTCGGCTAACCATTTTTTCTTTCTTTCTTCACCTATATACATATACGTGTACATATATATATATATGTATATACGCATACATATACATCTACACACTTATGTATCTTTATCTCTGTCTATTTGGAAATTTTTAGAATGTAAAAAAAGACGAAAGAGATAGCTTGTTAAAGGATATTGGTTTTAGTTGCGTTTTCTATATTGACTTAAAGTGGGTATATTATAAAGTCAAAGGATGTTCGATAAAGTAGGAAGGAGTAAAGGAAGGAAGGAAGGAAGGAAGGAAGGAAGGAAGGAAGGAAGGAAGGAAGGAAGGAAGGAAGGAAGGAAGGAAGGAAGGAAGGAAGGAAGGAAGGAAGGAAGGAAGGAAGATATGCCTCACCTGTTCGACCGCCTTGAAGACCCGGATGAGATTCAATCCAGCAAGTTTCTGGATATCTCTCTCTGACCATCCGCGCACTAACAATTCCGCGAATAACTCTGGATATTTGCTCACGTCTTCGAGACCTGCCGGTGTCCTGGAACAGACAGTTTGAAATTGGCTCAGATGAGATCGGCTAAAGCTGTTATATACTTTTAACGAGGTATTCCATTCAAGTGATATTTTGATGACTTTAAAGAATATGAGAATGTTTTCTTCTTTTTTTTTTTTTTTTTTCTCGAAAAAAAAAAACCCAACGAAATAAGAGAGAAAGATAATTTGTACCATTTCTCTCCTTCTCTTCTTTTTCCCTTCTCTCATTTTTCGGCCGTTACACCCGAATATTTCTCGCAATATTTTCATTCTGTAGTTTTTTCGCGTACCGAAATAAGCACACGCCCTTGTTTCAAAACGCATATTTTTTCCAACGAACGAACTAGAACAAGTACTATACATTTGTTTATGACGAACCGAGTCAGATTCCGACCTCTGATTTACCTCAAAAATGAAATATATATACATAGTATGCGAAAATATTAAACGATGGACAAAAACGAAAAGAAAAAAAAAAAGATGAAAAAAGAAAAACAAAAATAAATAGTATATGTAAGCGCATGAGATATGAGAGAAGTTTTTTAAATTACGTTCGTTTCAAAAAGAAAAATCGAATCGAATCGAATCAAATCGAATCATGAAATATCTTTTGATACCTATTACACGTAGACACGTTGATACATACATACATACATACATACATACATACATACATACACACACATATAGACATATATATATATATATATATATATCTATATAAAGTAGAACGAGATGAGACCAGACGAAATTGGAAAAACTCATGGAATCTTGTCTAAAGGCGAGACGAGGGTCACTTGGACGATGTGAACTTCGATCCTCCTCATTACGCGTGTCACAGCCGCGAAGGGTTACGTTGTTAGAGGTAGGGGGTGACGACGAAAACGAGGGTTTGAGAGATTCGTTGAAAGCCAGCCGGCTGACAATGTCGGAACGGCAAGAGTGGTTAGGGACTTATTCATGGCGCGTCGTGTCGTGGCTGAAACTGGCAGTTATGCGGCTCTGCAGCGGTAGCAGCAGCAGTACCAGCAGCAGCAGCAGCAGCAGCAGCAGCAGCAGCAGTAGCAGCACCCGTGTAAATCGACTGGTTCTGCCACATGATAGTCAACTTTTCCTATTCTCAAATTTCGAAATAACAATTTAATGTCCTAACTTTTCATCTATTTCTTTTCGCTCTCTTTTTCTAATTTCTTTTTTTTTTTCTCTATCATTCTCTCTTAATCTATTCCTTCATATTTTCCATTTTCTACGAGGTCCTTCCCTTTTTTTTTTCTAACGATCGTAAATTTTTCTTTTTACCAGTTCTAGACTCATATGGTATTTGAGCGAAGAGCATAGGAAGAACGATCAGGAGAGCTTTGAACCAAGCGCCAGGAGAATTATGCGCGTCATAGTTAAAGTGGGTCATTCGGTATATAACAAGCAAGGGACGCGTGCGTGAGCGAGATAGATAAAAAGAAAGAAAAGAGGAGAGAGAGAGAGAGAGAGAGAGAGAGAAAAACGTTGTTCCAATTCCCGAATTTCCAATTCAACCCACCTTTTTGTCGATTTATTTCGTGGCATACCGAGTGCCGTACACGCGCCATGCAAATAGTTCTTTTGACAGTGATTTACGTTAGGAAAAAGTAAAGATTCGAACAGGATATCGGTGAGAAAAAGGAGTGAAAGAGAGGGTTGTGAGTTAGGTAGGGTAGTAGGAAGAGCTGTGAACAGGCTAGGATTGGATTCCAGTACCACACACGCACACTCTCTCTCTCTCTCTCTCTCTCTCTGTCTTTTTACTTTTATCACTTCGATGAATTCGAGAACGATAGTCGAGTTCGAAAAACACGTTTGAAACTGAAAGAACGCATTTTGTCGCTTATCAAAATGTCGATTTTGAAAGAACAAGCAGAGATTCGAGAATCCCGAATCCCAGATATTTGGATATATGAAGAAAGAAAAATACAAAAGATAAAATAAACTCCTGTACTCCGTAATAAAAACAATGAACTTATATTTCTTTGTATTACTTATAAAATTAAAGGGACAAGAGGTATTCGAATCAAATGAAATTAAAAAACAAACTACATAACTATAATATTCAAATAATTTAGTTAACAAGTATAAGAGAGAAAGAAAATCGATTATCATGGTCGAAATAGAACGATTTTCTTGGCGCGTAACCATTGAGAAGCTTTGTTCGCGATAACGCGTGGAACGTGTCACCCATGGAAAGGCCATCGAGTAAATGCGGGTTAACGACGCAATTAACGCTAATCATTGCAGTTACTGTGGCGAATCAGAGTTAGCATAGGGTCTACCCAAGTACTCACGCTTTAAACGTAAGCGAGCCGAATAGGATGCGGTTAAGTCCTTTCGTTCCCTCTCTCTCTCTCTCTCTCTCTCTCTCTCTCTCTCTCTCTCTCTCTCTCTTTTCTCTTTCTCTTTCTCTTTCTCTCTTTCTCTTTCTCTTTCTCTTTCTCTCTTTCACTTTCTTTCTATGTATAGTAATATGAATTTTAATTTCACGTAAAAGCTTATTGGCCAACCTATCCACCGTAAAACCAACTTTTTTTCCTTTGGTCTTTTTCCTTTCGTCTCTTCTTCTTTCCTTTTTTTTTTCTTTTTTTTTTTCCTTCTTCTTCTTCCTCATCTACTTCCCCTCTCATTCTACCTGGCGATCCAATTTCGTTGCTCGAAATAATTAAATGCAACCTTTCAATGCTTCCCCAAAGCTTTCATCGTTTCAATAGTTATTTAAGTGATGAAATTTTGTTTCTTAAAAAAGGTATTAAATAGATTCATTGCACTTGTTGCGTTATCGCGTAATCGAAATATTGATCGATTGAAAATATTTCGTTTGTTTATTTTGTGTTTGACCAAAACGCATGTGTTATATATATATATATATATATATATATATATATATATATATATATATATTCACATATATCTTGTTTAATCACGTACTCTACGTTACTCCCATAATATTTCTGTTCGCCATGTGTTTCATATTAACCGAGGAAAAATGTCAGAACCGATATTAAAGTTCCATTCCTTTCGTGAAATGTGTAGAAGAAGATGAGAAACGCCAGGCTATGTATTGTTTTCGTCTCGTAGACAAATCTCCATTGAAATTCCCATGGGACACATTTTCGGGCACGGAATATCCTTTACTTCTTTTTCTATCTCTTTCTCTCTCTATCTATCTATCTCTCTCTCTCTCTCTCTCTCTCTCTGTTCCTGTTTTGTCCTATATGATTGTTATCGTTTCATCTTCTTTTCTCAAGATCAATGGCATCCGATATTCATGTCTCGAAGTTTAGAAAGTTCATACGCGTATGTCGATGAAAGAGTCGAAGAGTAAATTAAGAAAAATAAGATTAATGAAAATGTTCTTCGGTTTTGAAAGTTTCAGTCTTGTAAAAAAAAAAAAGTCAGTCTCTTACTGTATGAAAATTATCGATTCGAACGCTCGTATAGGATAAAATCTGAAATTATTCAGATGGAAATGTGTGGATAAAGCGATAAGTACTTTAGAAAGTGGAACAAGTTTTTCGAACTTTTTTACATATCTTGTATCCCTTCTTCTTCCTTTCTTCCATTTTTTTTCCTTCTTCTTCTTCTTCATTTTTCTTTTAATACATTATCGTTTCGTTCGTAAATTGCATTTAATCGTTGATAAAATCATAGATTCGAATGACATCATTTTTATTATGTCAATATTTATAAACGTAAGTGGAATAAAAAAGAGTGAACTTTCTTCTTTAAAAAATTCTTTGTTTATACTCTCTATGACTTTCGCTTGCGAGGATATTGCCTTTGAAATATTTTCATTCATATTTCTCGTATGTTAGTAGTACACCTGTTGGTTAGTAGTAGTAATAGTAGTGGTAGTAGTAGTAGTAGTAGTAGTAGTGGCTTCTGTAGTAGGGACAAAAAATGGTTTTCGTCGCGTGACCGACATAAATTCCAAGAACTTATGTAGGTCGTTGCTCCTTCTGAATTTAGAAATTATATAGGTTAGTACATCAATGTAAACATCTCTTATTTACACGAGAATATCTCCGGAACTACGAGTCGTAAAGACTTCAAAAAAAAAAAAAAATAAGAGAGAGAGAGAGAGAGAAAAAAGAATCATTTAAAAGATTTCTTGTCTTTTTCTTTTTTCGATAAAATTTATTTAAAAATATATTACAATACATTTTTATGAATATATCCAATCTTACGAGTTTTCTTACGAGAACGGAATAATAGTAATATGAGTTAAATAAAAAGAGATTATTTTTTTAATAACAATTTTTCAATGATAACGTCATTAATGATATCAACGATGTAGATAGATATTATTAATGCGAAGACGATAATGAATAAAAACCGCAACGTTTCATACGTGCTTTAAAATCACGTCGGATATTCGGTTTTATCTCTGACAGGAACATTTGTCCCATTGACCGTAAATAACGTGCAATAAAGTCGCTACCGAGCCAATCGCGGTCGACACCCTTTTTGAAGCATCCCTCCGTTCACACAGCTCGTACTTTATTTTCTATTTTTTTTTTTTTTTAATTTTTTTTCTATTCTTTTTTTTTTTTTTTTTTTTTTTTTTATTACGAAGAGAAGATATAGAAATTCGACGATGCAAAGTGAAATACGTCAAAGTGAAATTTATCTATACGCCTGTGGCCTGTGAGAGAATAATCGTTTAACATCGTACACATCCTTTGTGATAGTTCTACATAGAGCTTTCGAAAGCTCGTTCGTTCATTCGTTTAAAAAATATATTAAAATCATGAATACCGGTATAGCCGGTGTCTAGGCGGAAAACTATACTATCGGGTAACATAAGAGTTTCCGTTTCTATTATATTTTTATCATTGTTAAAACAACGTTACTTTCGTATTATTTTTCTTTTTCTCTTTCTTTTTCTTCTCTTTCTTCGTTCGTTCCTTCCTTTTCCTTCCTTTCCTTCTTTGTTCGTTTCTTTTTTTCTTTCTTTTCGTCTTTCCTTCATTCTTTTCTTTTTTTTTTCTTTTCTCCTTTTCCCTTTTACATTTCTATCCTCTTTCCTGTTACTCTTGTCCCGTTATAGAAAACAACATCGACAAACTTTGTTGCTCTTCGAGCTTGTCATTCTCTATTTTTTTCCTGTCATTCAGTTTTTCCGAATTTTTCGTACCCTTTCAATCGAATATCCCGATACCTATCGCAACAACAAAAGGGTAAAAAGCGTTACCGCCCGGAGGACTCAACACATTCTCTCCTCTACAGTCGCTTTCGCGTTCGATTTCTCCGTTCTAAAACTGCTACATGCTGCTTTTAACTCGCTTCGAGGGTGAACAAACAGAAACGTGCGAGCTTCTTGATTTGACAAACTACACGAGGAACGATAAGTCGTAACACGATGGGGTAAAGGAAACGAAATAGTGTCACGTACGGCACAGCCCACCCTTCTTTTTCTTTTTTTCTTTTTCTTCTTCTTCTTTTTTTTTTCCTTTTTCTTTTCTCTTTCCCTTTTATTCCTTTGTTTTATTCCTCCTATCTCCTGCCCGCTCCATCTACCTATCTATTCCCCCTTCCCCTCTTCCCCTTACCCCCTGTTTCTTTCTCTCTTTCGCAAATTTTTCCATGAGCTCTCTTGCTTTTCCTTTTCGATTCCCATTGAAATTCGTAACATGTCCGGGCCGGTCGCTCGAACGAAATAAAACCGTGCGTATAGAAATATTTGAAATTACAACGTTTTCACACAACGAAAAGCAATAATAGAACACGTGGGCATTACCTATTCTACTATAAATCTTTTTTTTTTCTTTCGTTATTTTCTCTTTTCTTTTTTCTTTTTTTCTTTTTTTTTTTCTGTAATATTTTTTTTTTAGCGGAAGAGAGAGAGAGAGAGAGAGAGATTCTCATTTCATGTATCCATAATTTTTCTCTTTGTCTCTTTTTATTCCGCTAACATATCATATCCCCGTTAAAGCGATTATCAAGCTATGAGGGTACTTTTGAATTCATTCGTATTATAGTATTTTTGTTACGAGCGTTTGTTAATAAGTATGCAGAAGTATGCAGAAACAAATTTGGAACTATATTTTTCACGATGATCGGATCTTTCTTTTTTTTCGGTCCTTTTAAATTCAAATGGGCGAATTAAATTCATAAGGAAAAAAAAAAAAGAAAAAAAAAAAAAAGAAATTCATACTAAATTAAAGTCGTAATAAATCATATAAATTTTATTATTTATTTATTCAAATGATAAAATGATATTTATTGAGAAAAGAGATTTAAATAGATTTAAAATGGTTACTTTGATTTTTCCCATAATTTTTATAGGATAATTTTCTATCGAGAATTAACATTGAACTTCAAATTGTAGAATATTAAAGAAAATGTTTAATTATCGTAAAGCATTCGCATACAACATAATCAGTGTTACGTGTGTATATATATATGTACGATGAAAAGATTTGATAAGTATGCGAACGTACGACAAATGTATTCGACGCTTACAACATTTCAAACTATCGTTTGATCATCAAACTGTGTATTTACGTATGTACATACATACATACATACATATATACATGCATACATATACGAAGATCGTTTAGGTTGATTTTTGCAAGTATTTGCAGCAGCAATCGTCTTACGAAGAAAGCTTTACATATGCTTCGTAAGGATTTAGTGTCGTCGTGAAATGTTGATATTCTATCCGCAAAGATCAACGCGTCGTTTTTCTATGAGAAAAGAGGAAGAACATTTTCTTTTTTCCTTTTTTTTTTCTTCGTTTTCTTCTTTTTTTTTTTTTTTTTTTTATTTCCCTCACTTTCTCTCCATTTTCATTTTATCTTCGTTATATATTATTTGCCGTTAGATAAAGAGAAAGCAATGAAACGAATCGTATATTGATTATCTATAGACAAATATGTAAACACATATAATTTATATAGACGATACGAAATTATATTTTATCAAGTATCTCAAAGAAAACTATCGGTTAAGGTAACAACGAAAATATATTCAGTAAGGTTCGTTAATTAATTTGGCCAACGTATAATCAATCATTTTGGCATATTTGCTGGAATGCTAACGCTTATCTTTTCTTACTCTCCACGCTAATTAATTCTTTAGACGTACGAACGATGAATAGAATAGATGAGAAAACACTTACAAATTAATGCCGTCGTAGCCGGCTCCGATTCCAATGTGATCCACACCGGCGATTTTACGAATGTGGTTAATGTGCGCTGAAACATTTCAAAATTGAAAAAGAAAGAGGGTGAAAAATATATGTAAATAGATACGTATAAATGTATTAATTACAGAGTAAATAGTATATAACGTGATCGTTTGAAAATTGCATAAAGACTTGTCAAAATGCAGATAAATATTTTTCATTTATCGAAGAAGCGTATAATAATTGATAAAATTCATTTTATTAATTCTCATTTTAATTTTATATTCATCGAGAATATTTAAATCAACGAAGACGATCAAGTTATACGATTCACTTCCAATAGATACACCTATGACGAACATAAAACGCATATGCAAAATATACATTAACGATTCAGAAATTCGATTCATCGTCCAATTATTTTACAACGCCCGTTGCTCTTCTTATCGTTACGATAACAACGGTTCAAACTCAGTAATTAACGTTTTCCGCCAGTGTCGACGATATTGTATGCTGCTTGAAAGAGAAACAGACGGAAGATAATAATGCGGAAATGCGAGAATCAATTATGAAAGGTTTCGCGATGCTGATATAATTATAATGGAAATTTTAGGCGGGCATTCTTGAAATTATTACCTTCTCTAACATCGGGTATTATCGTAGTTTCGTGTTCCCTTTGGCAAACAATGCTTTTCTACACTTCGTTTTGCCCTTCTCACGTTGTCCGCGTGAATCAAAAGATTTATGCAACCACTCGCGAGTGAATAATTAGAATAATGCGATATAAGTATCAAGGTATACGTGCGTGTCTATACGTGTGTGTATATATATATATATATATATATATATATACAATGGATGTATATACGTATGTATTCACTGGTCTGCGGGCTCGCGTTTATCTCTCCTGTCCGATTTTATTCTCGTTCGTTTTTTCGTTCGCTTAGAAAATAGGAGAAAGAGACGAAGAGAAGTTTCTTATCGGCCGTCGAGCTCGTTATTCAATCGTCTTTCTACTTTTTTTCCTTTTCCCTCTAATTCACCACTTTGCTCTTCTTCTCACTTTCTCCGTGTGCTTTCCGAGAGATTGTACAGAGAGAAAAAGATAAAACAGAGAGAGAGAGAGAGAGAAAGAAAGAGAGTTTATCACGTTCGTACGTATGTGAAACGGATAGTGCGAGACAAATAGAGAAAAAGGGAGAGAGAAAGAGAAAGACAAAGAGTGTGTGTATGTGTGTGTGTGTGTGTGTGGGTGTGTGCGTGCACGGAATATCGCGAAGAAAATTGGTGGCTCTCGTGGGAGACAACTCGAGTTTTCGTTTCACTCCTGTACCTCAGGACGACAGGATATTTGCTTTTCTATTGGGAATATCACGGATATTCCTTGCACGGCTATGTTCGAGTTGATATTGTAAGGTTGCCAATGTAAAACTGGACGTGTAGAAATCAAAAAAGGACGAATTTAGTATAAGTGTGTTTACCATTGGATTATTTATCTTTAAAAACTTTTTTTTTTTTTTTTTTTTTTTTTTTTTCATATATAAAGATATAAATTTTTTCAATAATAACTTTTGTAAAGCTTACCAACGACATCCTCCAAAGTCGATGTCTCGCTGCAGCTTATAAAAGGGGGGTAGAAGGATACCATAACTATACCACCGGTCCGCGCCTAAGTAGATTAGAAGATAAAAAAGAAGATATTAAATCGAAGGATTAGAAAAAGAAAAGATTAATAATCTATGAGGAAAATTGAATTATCGATCTTACCAAATGTCTTAGCGCGTGATCAGGCACATTTCGCGAGGAATTGCATAGAGCGTGAGCGCTGCTATGGCTAAAAATGACCGGCGCTCTTGAACTCACCATTGCGTCCAGCATAGTGGGTACAGAAACGTGTGATAGATCCACCATCATTCCCAGTCGATTCATCTCGAGAACGATGCTCTGAAAATTAACAAGAAAAAAGTCTCTTCTTTGTCGTTTATCGTGGATTAAAAGGGAAATCTTTTTCTCTTTCTCTCTCTCTCTCTCTCTCTCTCCCCCTCTCTCTCTCTCTCTCTGAGTTCTTCGAGTCTGGAAAGTTTGGTAAATGCGAATCGCTTTTGAATTTGAGAAAACTTTCGAATTAGTTAGATAGCTAGCGAACTAAGAAGAATTTCGTTTTTGCTTTATCAAGTTGATTTTATTTTTACAAGAAGATAATGCTCTACCGACATTTTATTTCCTATAGTCAAGATATTATTACTTTGGGACAAGAGAGAGAGAGAGAGAGAAAGCTTATCTTTCCGCGTGATAAAGGTATACGTATATGGAACAAAGTTCACAATGGAGTTGCGAGATGGTGAAATCCTTCGGATCGATTCGTTTGACAGTGGAGACACGTTACGTCCGACTGACACTTATTGCGTTGGTTGTCTCGCCAGATTGAACGTAGAACGAGACGGATGGTTTGTAACGTTTGGCCACCTATACTGATTACAATTCAAAGAACGTCGGTTTGCAAGAAGAACCGAAGAGCTTGAAACATCGATCTTCAAAGACGATACAAAAGTCTCATTTAATTGTCGTATTTTCATTCTAAATATTAATAATATTATTATTGATTTATTTTTATTTATCGCGTACCATATATGATAGTTATCAATGAGACATGTTCCATCTTCGATATATATATTTTCAAGTTATATTTTATCGTTCTTTATGAAATAAGAGGATGAAAAAACGTCGAAGGTAAAAGATACGAAGATGGCGTTTGCTCGATGACGAAGTGTTTCGTCGTCGTCAAAACGTCGGGGGAAAAAAAGAAAAAAGAAAAGATCTTGTTATTGAATCAAGTAAGAAGAAACGTCGTCGTACGTCTCAATCTTTCTTTTCTCGCGACAGTAGGTGATCTTCTTTATTAGGGACTTCCCTTGTAGAACGAATTCCAAAGAATATTTGATCTCTCTTGGTCGTTGTTCAAAAAGATCTTAGCTTTCATTTAAACGAGAGAAAAAGTTTTGTTAAGCCATTCCTTGGATAAACCAAATTGAGTTTCCGCGATTTCTTATTCGTCTGTCTATTTGTCCGTCTTTCACTCTATCTCTGTCTCTTTCTCTTTTGTCAGGCAAGTCTACGATGGTGAGACATCGTTAACGTGACTCGTGCGAGTCTCGTTTTCATCACATCGCTTTTCTTTTCGGAAACGAAGAAAAAGGAGAAAATAAAGGAAAATAGAGAGAGAGAGAGAGAGAGAGAGAGAGAGACTTAGACGAGAAGCTATTTCAGCTGGAAAGAAGGATAAAGAGAAAACGTGAAAAATCTCGCCGCGTGAGAGAACGCGATGCTCTTGACGTTGACTCAAGAGGAGGAGGATGCACGATGAAAGAAAGGGATAGGAAAAATGTAAGTAGGTACATGTCTTCTCTTCTATCTTTGTGTGTATTTTAGTATGTGTATGTGAGTAAGTCAGTCGAGAAGGGAAACCAGTCTTCCCTTATTCGAACGATTTATTTCCTGCGAAGACTCCCTCCTCTACGTCGTCCTTTATCTAAATTTTATTTTATTCCCTTTGCTCCCTCCCCGTTTCTTCGTGAACGACGACGATGGTTTATCTTTTATCCGGACGAATAATCACTGGCTCTCTCTCTCTCTCTCTCTCTCTCTCTCTCGCTCTCGCTCTCTCTGTCTGTCTGCCTGCCTGTCTGTCTGTCTCTCTTTTTCTCTCTCTCTCTCTCTCTCTCTCTCTCTCCCCTTTTATCCTAGTGACTTATAAAAGAGAAGGATCGTTCTTCGAAGAAGGGCGTAGGTATGGAATAAAAAATGAAGTGCTTCGTCTTTTCAATAAAAAAAACTTATCGTAAAAAAAAGTTCTTTTTATTCTTTTGCATATTCCAACTGGTGTAACATTTATTGTCGATTCATATCTCTCTATCTATCTCTTTCTTTCTCGAGCTCATGGGAACTCATGAGAATCAGTGACAGTTAGATTTTTTCAGATTATTGGAAAAATTCACCCTCAAGGCACTGACTCGAACGAGCGAGCGAGCGTAAAAGAGTCTCGTATAGTTCGTTCCATCGACAGAACGACGAATAACTCACGTTCTCTCTCACGAGCTCTTTTTTGAATGCCACCTTCGACTGCTATTACAGGTATTGGTTTTATCGTTTAACAAAAAATTTTTCGTAGCACCATGTCCCTTGAGAAATCTTTTGGAAATAAAAAAAAAAAAAAAAAAAAAAAAAGAAAAAACAAACAACGTGACTTAGCGAGAATGCCATCTTTAATCTTCTTCTTCTTTTTATTCCTTTTCTTTTCTTATTATTTATTTTTTCATTTTTATTTTTTTATCTTTCCTCTTTCCCACGCACAACTCTTACATAACTTTGGTTACAAGTGGAGAGGATTTTTTTTCTTTTCTATTCCGTTTATGATCCTTTATGAATCGTGATATTTTATATATATATATATTTTTTTTTCCCCCTTTCCACACGCGTAAATTATTTTTTGATAACAGCAGAAAGAAATTGACCTAACTGAATTTAATCAAATTTTATGGAAAATTTCTCTGTTATAGCTGAAAGTATTGCTTACAGTTTCAAACAAATTGCTCGATTACTTTCAAAGTAACATTCATTTATGGCGATCGTGCATAATGCATACTTACGAAACGCATGAAATGAGTACAGCTATTATGTAATATCGGGTAAATGGAAACTGCGATAAAGTGAGATAATTATCGTGATGATAAAAGCACAGCTACGTATTCGAAAAATTTGTGGTTTATCAACAATGAGAAAAATTTTTTGGCTATTAATTTTGGGAAAAAAATTCGTGGTTATCAATAAGTGAAGTTCGGTCTTTTGTTGAGATTTATAGTGTGCAGTTTCAACGAACGCCGAAGGCGATCAAGTTGGTTTCTTTTTTCTCGTTGTTTAAATTTTTCTTTTTTGGCTTGTCAAGATATTTAATTGAACATTTTTCATCGTGTCATGTACAACGGATTCATCTCTATTTCTCTCTCTCTCTCTCTCTCTTTCTCTTTCTCTTTCTCTCTCTCTATCTATCTCTCTATCGCTTTCTTTTTTTATTGTCTATCTCTTATCTCTTTCATTTCATTTTGATCGGACATCGAAGTAGACAGTAGCGGCAAGTAACGATCGTTTAGTTCTTCCAAAATGAGATGAAACTTGTCCTTTCTCTGCCCATCGTTACTAGATACCTACCGGATGTTGCTATCACCGAGAAGCAACTTCAGTTAGGAAACTACCAACACTTTGGCACCTATTTAGAGACGAAAACTTTCGGGGAGCAAGCCAGCAGCTGGTCTCAAAAGGGGGTCTGGTCAGTTCTGCGAGAACGCTTTGGAAAACTTATCGGCCAGCTGTGACCGCCATATTCCCAACTCAATCCTCATTCTGCTTGGTTTACCCAAAAGAAAATGTTTCACTTTAGACCGTTTCTTTCGTCTATATGAAAGAATGAAAATTCACCGATATATTTCATTTCATTTTATCGTTTAGTTAATTAAGAAATAACATTTTTCTTTTTTATTTTCTATTTCTTTCTTTCTTTCTTTTTTTTTTTTTTTCTAAAATCGAACTTTATATCTTGATATCTGTGATATTATTTCTCGTCGAAAAAGAAGATATATTGACGACTTTGTCACTCTCGAGAATCGGTTGAAATTTATTGGTTGAAATTTAAAAAAGGAAAGAGAGAGACAGAAATGAACAGAGAGAGAGAGAGAGAGAGAGAGAGACAGAGAGAGAGAAAAGAAGCAAAAAGCACGTGAAAGTTAATAAAGAGGTCGAGATTTGAAAGTTTAATATCACTGAAGAGATATTCGGTAGACCAGTGAAATTAAAATTTCTAGAGGGGAACATAAAAAAAGACAAAATGATATTACGATTTTGTAACTAAACGAGATTATTATAATATATACTTACATACGTATACAGATATGTAGATATGAATATTGGAATATGTTTTTTGTTATATTACGTATACGTACGTACAAATCTTTATGAAGTTGTTTGAAAGTAAAGGAAGAATTATCACTGATAATGCCAGTAGTAAGAAAGATAGACGATAAAAAATAAATTAGATATGTTTTTTTTTTCTGTTTCTTCTTCTTCTTTTCTCGCTCTTTCTTTTCGTCACGTAGTCGACCTCAAAGATACCAAGTCACTGCCGTATATATGGCGCGTTAAACAGATCCCGAGAAAATAACTGGAAAGCAGTGCAACCCTTGTTGAGCAGATGGTACGTGGCAGATCATGGAAACACGTTTGTCCTTCTTTAGACGTCGTGGCCGACATTTCTTAATGAAAGCACGTTTCCCGAATAACGTCCGGAAAATGACTTTCTCTTTCCTGCCAAAAGCACGATTGTTGGCCTGGATACTTTCCTAATTAACTCAATCGTTTACTACGAATTTTCGATTAACTTTGCTTTCTATTTGCCGTAACGAATACCTAACGTAAAATCATATTATTATTGTATTAATAATAGTGATAATAATAATAATAATAATAATAATAATAATAATAATAATAATAATAATAATAATAATAATAATAATAATAATAATAATAATAATAATAATAATAATAATAATAATAATAATAATAATAATAATAATAATAATAATAATAATGATGATGATGATGATGATAATAATAACAATCAACTTTACTCTAGATTCATTCTATCTTGTAATGAAACATTTTCATGTATTACGTATTTTTATATATTGTGTATAAAATTACTTATACGTATTAATGCGTTATCATATTATGCAATTGATCGATCGAATTTAATTCGACCTGGCGTATGTAATCTGTCATTTTTCAAATTGCAAGCAATGTTTACGATAGTCCCTCGTCATAGCCAACGTAATAAAATGAATGCGAAATGTATAAATAGATACGGATATTAGTCTTTTAATTAAATCCTCGGTTGACGTAGTAAAGTGCGAAAATTTTTCTTCTCTTTTCTTTTTTCTTTTTTTTCTTTTTTTTCTTTTTTTTCTTTTTTTTTTTTTTCGATATAAGAGAAAAGGAATTGATTTATTATGGCCGTTTAATTCTTCCCGCTTCATCTTGCAATTTCCATCGGGTATATTGTATAGTGCTTTTATTCGAGCTTATTAACTTTCACTAAAGTTAGTAAAGGAATTTTTCCCCTGTTTCTCCCTTCCTCCCTCTTCCTTTTTTTTCTTTTTTCTTTTTATTTAAAAAATTTTATCATTCTTTCCTTTCATCGACACTTCTTTCTTTCTTTCTTTTTCTTTTTTTTTTTTTTCTTTCTTTTTCTTTTTTATAGATATTATCGAGCATAAACCCTTTCAAAGGAACTACTAATCGATTCACGTTTACAACGAATTATTTTAACGAAAAGTGTTTGGCCCGTTAAAAGCATTTTTCGTTCTTTCGATTTCGAGCGTCGTCAGTTATAAACCTGTGGAGCTTTGAATTTTGAGAGATGTCGCGCGTGTAAAAGCCTCGTAAAAATCCGCTTTAAAATCAACTCCGATAAAAGAAAACTTGTTTCTCTTACAGAAGAACCATCGGTCGCGATTTTTCTCTTTTACTTTTTCTTTTTCTTTCATTTTCGCTTACACTATGTTTATTTCCTTTGTTTTATTCTCATCGTCACTAGAGTGTCGTTCCCTTTGGCGAGAACGTCCTTGATAGTTTTGAACTTACTTGACAAAATCAAAAACAAAAAAGATAAAAGAGAGAGCGAGAGAGCGAGAGAGAGAGAGAGAGAGAGAGAGAGAGAGAGAGAGAGAGAGAGAGAGACAAATAAGAGAAATTGCCTCGAGTTGGATGGGGTCAAAGTTGAAATGAAAAAAAAAAAAAAAAAAAAAAAAAGAAAAAAGTAAAATTGTTGGTCTCTCTGGTTGTGTCATAAAAGAGTTCTCTTTCAAGTATGTTTTGCAATCAGTTTGTCGTTGTTCGACCTTTTTTTAGTTTTTTTTTTCTTTTTACACGTAGATATGTACAACTGTTTGCTACGGATAGAAAGACACTCGTAGGAATAGCTTGAGAAAATCCAATACGTTAAATACATTAGAATCTTATAAGTATGCGTGTATGTATGCATGTGTGTGTGTGTGTGTGTGTGTATGTGTGTGTGTAATATATAGTTTTATACATCGAAGATGCGAGGACGAGAGGAGTTGAATTTAGAAAGATATAAAGCCGTACATTTCGCGGTACGTTGGGGTAAAAGGATTTGTTAAAAGAGGTTAGAGAGAGAGAGAGAGAGAAAGAGAGAGAGGCCGTTTTTGCTCATCTCTTTCTCTCTCTCTCTCTCTCTCTCTCTCTTCTTAAAGAAGAGCCGCTTTGGAATTTTTATCGGCCACTTTAGATGGCTGTTTATTGCCGCGATGTAAGTGATAAACGGGTAGTAAGGTCTGAAGCGAGCAAGGTGTAAAAAGAGTCTAGAAGATCGGACATAAAATATCTCCTTTTGAAACGGTCGATGTGAAAACGAGTACTTTCTTTCTCGCTTAAGGAGATTGATCTATGAATTTGTAACTTTTATACTTTAGTTTCATTCCTCGGACGAGGAAGTATAAGTCGGTGATATTGCGTTAACGTAACCCGAAGCATTGCTTGTTAATAGAATATTTAAAAAGATATTATATATCTGATTTAATACATATATAAGAAAAATAGTTTGATAAAAGAGATAAATTGTTTCCTTAATAGAATACGTTAACATAAAATACGTATTCGACTTTTCCATTTAGATATAAGTATGTATTTCCTAACAATAAGATTCAATTACGACATGGAATCGTCTCTCTCTCTCTCTCTCTCTCTCTCTCTCTCTCTATTTGTAATTCCCTTCCCGTGAATCCTTCGTGAAAGTTTATAAGATAACGTAACATCTCGTTTTTCCGTAGTTTTACTTGCTCGCTCGCTTGTACGCGTAACATGAAGATTTATAGCTTCTTTTGGTGAATGAAGGGAGATATTGGTGTGATGCCGGTGTTGCTGGATAGGTGGACCGATCCTTTTTCAAACCGGAAGAAGAATAGCTTCGCAAATGGTGTGGCGATGTTGAATAAAAAATAACTTTTAAAGAAAGAGAAAAAATCTATATATACATATATATATATATATATATATATATATATATATATATTTATAAGAGAATGTGAAAGAAAAAGAGATAGAAAAAGAGAAACATTGTGAAAGTGAGGAAGAGAAACGAGAAGAAGGTTTACGGATGATAGTGGGAAATGCGATCGATTCTCATCGCGGAGAATTAAAATGGACATCGTACGACCATTATTCTTCTTCGTAGCAACTGAAAGGAGTGGCCCGAGAAAAATCTTGGCTTCTTGGTTGTATACTTTAGCGACGTTCGTTAACAATCTTCCGTGTTTCTCTTTCTCTTTCTTTTTTCCTTTCTTTTCTTTTCCTTTCTTTTCTTTTTTCCTTTCGTTTCTTTTCTTTCCTTATTTTCTTTCACGGCGATATACCTCGTAAAGTTGAACGAATTTCTTTTTCTTTTTTATTCTTATTTTCTTTTTTTTTTTTTTTCTTTTTTTTCTTTTTTCTTTTCAAACATTTGCCCCATTTAAATGTACTAAATTTTTTCGTAGCTACGTTGTTGAATATTTCAATGGTAATCGTTTATTATCAATGGAACGAGAGAGAGAGAGAGAGGGGGGGGGGGGGGGAGGGGAGGGAGAGTTTAGATTAGAAAAAATACTTTTATAAAAGTTAAAGATAAGTTACCAACGAAATATTATCTTATAAAAAATTGATAGTATATTTTTTCAAACAGAAGGGAGGAAAAAAAAGTTATGATCATCGAAAGGATAAACCGTACATTATTCAGCCTCTTTCTATTCGATTTTCGTCTCGTATTTATTCGTGACCACATCCCCAAAGTCATTTTTCATCCGTCTTCGACTATGAAAAACCACCCTCGTCATTCCTACGTCATCGTTCTCTTTTCCCTTAATTTTGAGCACATTTCTAGCCTATCGAACTCTATTTCTCTCTCCCTTTTTTTTTTAGACCTTGCCATTATATCAATACGAATGAATGAAATACGTTTTCACGTTTATCATTTTCATGGAATCGATCTTCGAAGATAAGAGAAAAAGAGAAATACTTATATATTTATTGTACGATAATATTTTGATGTCTAAGGAAAGAAAATATGTCGATCTTTCGCCGTTATACTAACGACCGACGCAAAACAATTTCGTTAAACTAAACTTTGATTGCGTTTGCGTACGCTTCCTAGTCGCGATTAGATTTGGGTTAGATCTCTCTTCTAGTTAGGAAAGAGGTACTTTACCGCTGCTAAAAGGTTTAGTAGGATAGTTCGAGGGTGAACTCTCTAAGCCGTCCGGACCGATGCTTTCACTCTCTACGAGTTTGCTTCTGAATAATCAAAGAGAAAAATAGACCGACACATTCCGTGCATTAGCCTAAGCTACTTCCTTCGTAGTTTCGCTTTAACGACTACTATACATATTGTGAAAATGTTTTACAACGTTATACTTCAATTTCTTTTAACTTCATAAAAAAAAAAATATATATATATATATTCTTGATACGTCGTTCGCGCAACATATTTTACATACAATGGATTAATATCATTAAACGTAATACGTTCTCTATTAGATATACGAGTCATATAGATTAAACAATTTTCATTAAATTTCTCAAGATACAACTTTCTCTTGGAAAATAATCCCAGAACACAAATTACAATCTTTACGTCATATTTTATAAATCCGCATTTAACGTTTGGGATCTATTGTGTTTTAATCGATCATAGATTAGACGAAATTAAAAGATCGCTTGAATGCGATCGTTTATGTAATGGCGTTTTATTCTCTCATGATTTTTTCTTTTTTTTTTTTTTTTTTTTTTTTTTTTGGAGGAGGGGAAGAATCCATTTTTCATCTTGCGTTATTAATAAAATAAAAAAGGACATGAGAACGTAGGTATAATTGATTATACAATAGGAGTTTTTATCAGCGAATATCATGGATAAGGAGAGACACATTCAGGTTCTTGGGATTATCGAGGGGACTCGAGTGGGATCGATGAATTTTAATCCCACTTCGCAGGGCAATTCAATGGAATTTGATTTTCTACTCACCTTACCGAAGTTGGAGAGACCACCGACGTGAGGCACTTGACCGGGTTCATCCGCCGTGCTGCAGTCTGCCCTAACGAACCAACAGGTCAGTAACTCAATAGTTACAATCGTGCGCATTATTGCCATACAATGACTTCTAATCACGGCTCGGCCAATCCGCTATTCTATTGGCGTAGTACGATAACGATATTTACCTAACAGAAACGCGATCAGAGTCTAACGAATTGTTCTCAAATTTCTAACCGCGTTTTCCTCATCAACGCCATACCTTCATCATACATGCAGATATGTTAGCACGGTTATGATAATATATGGTGGTTTATGACGTTGATTCGAAATCGATGACATTCTATTGAAACCAATGATAACATATTGTCATACGAAATTTTCTTAAATAAGAGAGTCTACATAGTTCTTTCCTTTTTTTTTTTTTTTTTTTTTTCTAAGATGATATAAAAATTTTTATTCGAATTTTATACATGATATTGATTTTCTCTTAAATAATGATTTTACATTAAAATTTATTTTCTTTTCTTTCACCCGATCCGTAAATAGATCGAATAGATTGGTACACAATGATACGATATAACAACGATATCGTCCTAGTTACGATATCAAGGATTAATACCATGGTGATGATTATACGTATTAACGTTCCATCCTCTAAGCCGTCTGACAGAACATCAATGATACAGTATTAGATTCTAGTTGTAATAATCGATTATTCAATAGGTAAGGCTCAATCGGGATCTTCCCGTTAGCGAGACACATAGGAATTCTTGACGTTGGTGAACGACATAACTTTATCGGATCTTACGTTCTGATAGGTTCGTTTTCGTAAGGAAGGTAGATGCGTTAATCGATCTGTCTGTTCTAATAAACGTCGATATTGTCGTCTAATATTAGTTATGTCATCGTATTACGCTCGTCAATTGTAACGAGTATTAGAGAGAGAGAGAGAGAGAGAGAGAGAGAGAGAGAGACAGAGAGAAAGAGAGAGACTATCTCAGAATCGTAAAATAAATCGAAACTTTATTTGCTTAGTAAAAGAAAAGTAAAAGAAATAAGATAATAGATAAAATACGACTGAAGTTTCGAGAAATTCATCGCATTTTCCACGAGAAGACTTTTATTGCTCATCTCGCTCGCACCTCGTCGCGTCCACTCATAAAACTAAAACAAAAGCAAATTCGTCGTCTGTTGTTTGCCGTAAAACAATATCACGCAAACTTTCTTTCGTTAACTCTCTTTCTCTCCCTCTCTCGTCTTATGATTATTTCCCCTTTATCTCTTTCTTCGTTGTGTGAAAGATCAGATAACGTCGATTGGAATTTTTATATTCTGAATAATTAATAAACTCGAACGCGTTGAAATCGATTTTTCAAACGAAACGATCGACGAAATATGGAAATTATATATGTAAAAATATCGATGGACTTTTAAAAAATTTGTACCAATCTAATCGATCCATCATTCGTGTTAACTCAAAGACAAACGAGTTATCGCGTTTTATTTTATATCATATTAATCGCTATTATTGTATATTATAGAGAATAGAAATTATATGTCGCGTTTTTGAAAAATTTCATTTTAATTTTATTCAATTCGGATCTGAATATTGTTGTATCTCGATTGGCAGACTCACCAAGGCGTGTGGCACGTGTGAGTTAACGTTAGATATCTGGCACCGAGCTCGTAGAGCATCCTTAGGACCGCCAAACTCGTGCCGATGGCGTGTCCCCCTTCAACCCCTATAAGACTCGCTAATCTACCCTCCTTGTGTGCTCTCTCGATCCCTGAAATCATACATTAAATTCCACTTGAACCATCTCTCCCCTTATTACCTCTCTCCTTCTCATTCTCGCTCATCGTTCATTACTACAACTCCATACCACTTATATTACAGATCATCTTCGTTCTCTCACGATAGTTGAGAGAAACCGATACGAGGATTGAGATTAATCTTTCGTAAGTATCCAAGGATGGGATAACCGGTAATGGAATATCGCTTCGACGTGAACATTTTGATAACTACGATTTTACACGACATTTAATTGCAACACATACTTCCGATAAAATTTACCGTCAACTAAGTTCGTAAACGACGTACCTCGAAACATTAAATCATTTCATTTTCTGACGTGGTACGTCATTAGCGCCACAATGGTACTATACCGAGCCGCTATGTTTACTCGGATTAATTAAATCATCGGAATTGCCCATCAGGGTTTGATAGCCTTGGGTATCGTTGATTACAAAGCGTAACGTAAAAGATAATAAACATTGTACACGCGTCCTCGCTATCTAAACTTGCGCTTCCACAATCAGCATTTACTCGATATTCGTTCGCTATTCAACGAATTCGATGACCAACGTTTAATGGGACGAACGAGCCACTAGTGTAAGGGTAGACCGATGGCTTCGTAAAATCAAATTGGCGAGCTTGCGAGCGGTTCGCAGTAGGGATTCGATTAAAATACCACGTGCAAACTGTGTTGCTAATACATACGTTACTTGTTGTTGTCAGCATCGACGCGCTCGTATAAGTCGCTTTTTGAAACAAGCGATAAGCTGATCGAACACGTATACATGTATATGTATTACATATTCTTTCTTTTTTCTTTTTTTTTTTTTTAATTTTTTTTTTATTTATTCTCCTTCTTCGTTCGGCTAATAGATAGGTATAGAAGTCATAATCTATATATATATACATCGATGGAAAAGGATAGAACGTGAAGAAAAAAATAGAGACGATCGTACCGAATAAAAGCCGTAAGCTGCTGCACGATGGGTCTAGATTTACTACGTCCACTGATTTATGCGTTGACACGCGTCTATGACCTATACATATATACATATATATATATATATATATATGTATATATATACGAGAATATATATGTACGTGTAATAGGTAAATGGTGAGAGTTCAAAGGGGAGAATAGACAACCCTTGCAACGTGTCGGAGAGGTCCGATGATATCGTGCAAGCCCTGCTGCGACTATCACCAACGCAACGACACCAACACTCACACCACTATATATACCATTGCTAACGCCATCATCCTAACCCCCGAGCATTTTTCCATTTCTCTTGGAATTTCTCATTTTCCACGGCCCCGTGTTTGTTCTTTCCTTCCATCCGCTAGATTGGCTTCGTAAGGATAACCCCGTGAATTCTTTATTCCTACTTCGAGAGAAAGAGGGAGAGAGAGAGAGAGAGAGAGAGAGAGAGCTTCGTGCAGAGCCTCGTTACTCTGTCAAAGATCATTTTAAAGAAGAAGATTAGAAATCTTTCAAAGATCTAGATTCAATCGTCACACGAAAAAAATTATTATCCCATATCAATTATTATTATTTCATTATTATTATTATTATTATTATTATTATTATTATTATTATTATTATTATTATTATTATAAGTTCTTTTTTCTTTACTTTCTTTCTCTTTCTTTCTTTCTTTCTTTCTTTCTTTTTCTTTTCCTTTTGTTCTTCTCTTTTCGAAATTCTTCCAAACTGTATATTGTACATGAATTTCCATATTCAAGAGACTACAGGAATATTGGTATTTCAGTTTATCGAAGCACCACACGTTGATGATACACATATGTATATATATATATATATATACATATATGCATACATTATATATACTCTACCGAGAAAAGGGTTTTTCCATTTCACATGGAATTTACCATATCCAGGAGTGGATCCTTGGCGACATACACCGTGCGTTTCCATCTTTCCATCATATTCGCATTACCTTCTAGTGTGCCGTCGCGTGAAATACGCTTGTACTATAACAACACAACACAACACAACACAACACAACAACAACAACAACAATAACAGCAGCAGGAGCAGCAGAAGCACCAATGTCCTTATATTCCAGAAGATTTTTTCACAGGCTGTGCACAAGGTCTGTTTCAGTTATTCCTAATGTACATACCTCTATACGTATTTAAATATTGCCATATTCTTTTTCGTTTTATTTTATTTATTTCTATCTTTCAAATCTCGAAGCAACGCAATTTGGAAGATAAAGAAATAGAGGAAGATAAAGATATTTTCTTTTTTTTTTTTTTTTTCTTTCCTTCTTCTCTCTCTCTCTCTCTCTCTCTTTCTTTTCCTTTCTGTCTCTTTCTTTATTCATTCTTTCCTTTCTCTTCTTTTGTAACCGGTTGTTCGTTTTCTCGTTTCCGATAACGTCCTCGGTTCATCACGACAACGACAACGACAGCGACGACTACGACGACTAAGACGACGACGATTTCACACCATTTCTTCGCTTTCTCAATCTTCTCACATCCTCCAAAGACAAAGGAAAGATTTCGAATTGAAAGTTGGAAACACTCGTTACCTCGATGGTACCCAATCGAGATGGTGAACCGACGGTGAATTCGTTTCTCTCGATTTTAATTTCTTTTATCATCGTGACTCGCGATCGTGCTTTCCGTTCGCCCTTTTCTCCGAATAAATTCAACCTTTTCACCTTTATTTGCATTAATATGAAAGTCCCTTTTTCTTTTCTTCTTTTATATAATACAACCATGAACCATTTAAATCATTTAAAAGAACATCTGAATATTTTCTTATTCTTTACTATAATATTTCTCTGAGAAGTCATCGTTATAGATTAATATAATCAGTGATTATGAAAAGGAATCTAAATTCAATATTTTTCTTTTTCTTTTTTTTTTTTATTTTTTTTTTCTCTCTCTCTCTCTCTCTCTTAATTCTATGACACTGTTATAAAAATGTAAATCGATGTAACGCGAAATAATGAATAATTTTATTTCTTTCCTTTCTTTTTTCTTTTCTTTTTTTTTTTTTTTGATTTCTTTTTTCTCTTCACATCGTGCAACATTTATAATTACTTGGATATATATTATATCATGGAGATATTTTATATAAAAAAGTTTTATTGTAATTACCTTCGGCCGTAGTAACTAGGACCATACTTTCGGGATGTTTGTTGACCAATCGACGAATCACGTCAATTTGTTCCAAAGCAAGTTGAACGGAGTCGTGATATTGGGATGGACAGGGCGTGTACGCCGACCAAAACTGAAACAGATAAATAAGAGAGTACGTAAAATTTGGTATATCGAGAATGGTCGTAGATGGTAGTTACCCTGTGAAAAATGATACGATTATTTTCGCTCGATAATCTTAATGATGTTCGTAATAGTACGTTTCTCAGTGAGTTCATCTTTAATTCAAAGGGTATCTGATATCGTTGAAAACAATTAAGCATTGGTATAAAGAACATTTATAAAGGCGGTGAATAATATTTTGAATTTCAAATGTACCTACTTCTAAGCTGTCCATCTTTCTCACTCTTTCTCTCTCTCTCTCTCTCTCTCTCTCTCTCTCTCTCTCTCTCTCTTTATGTATATGTATATATATATATATATCTTCCTCTTTTAAAGCCTTGCGTAAAGCCAAATAAAAATATATCGAGTGTATCGAATAATTCAAGAATCGTCCTACATATCTCCACGACACGTTTCGTTATTTTTCCCCAGTAAAAATGACCGGAATTGATTGAATTGGTGAGGTCGATTTGATAAAAGAATTGAAAATATACGGAATTTTTATTACGCTCCCAAACTTGGAATATAATTATATTATTATTCATTACAGAGAGATACAGAGAATGAAAGATAGATAGAGAGAGAGAGAGAGAGAGAGTGAGAGAGAGAGGTAAGAATGAAAGTATTGAAGAAACGAAGGAGGCACGTTACATTCCTTAGTTATATCACGTAACGATAAAATTTCTTCGAAATTGTACTTTTTCTTTTTTCTTTTCTTTTCTTTTCTTTTTTTTTTCCTTTTTCTTTTTCTTTTTTTTTCAACGTGACAATTAATACTCGTAACAGCTTTGTACGTAAGTCTCGTAAATCAATGGACGGCACGACGACATTATTTCGAGTCTCCTGTACTAACGCGAGTCGCATCGATCGTTCCACAGAATACACCTACGGATACACACATACATTTTACATTTGTCCTGTGCAAAAATAGTCGGGATATCGGTTTCTCTTGTATTTTTATAGTCGCAAGTATTTAACGAGAAAGCGGAAAGGAAACGTTCCTGTGTATAATATCTCTCATGTTCATGGCTCGCAATTTCAACGCACTGACACGAGTATACGGATACGAGGTACAGTAGTTATGGCATGGCTTAGGTCGGACCTTGGCTAAGTCATGTGCGTTCATATACAAACACATCTTTCTTTCCTTTCGTTTACATTCGTGTGGGTGCTCGCGCAAAAACGAATAGTAGTCGCAGCCGAGTTTTAGGTCAGACGTTCGTAAAAATACTGCTACGTGTATGAGAAAGAGAAAGAAAGAGAGAGAGAGAGAGAGAGAGAGAGAGAGAGAGAGAGAAATGAGAAAATAGAGAGAGAGAGAGAGAAAGATACGGAGAAGGAGTGGCGGTAGAAGCGCAGTTCAGCATTTGGGATTCTATTTAAAGGTGACCTGTGATTGTGCAAAACCGATCTACCCGTTGAATAAATAGCAAGGAGGCATTTCGCAAGATCGTTCGAAGGAAAGATATACGATCGTAAACGTTACTCGAGTCCTTTTGGTTTCTTAAAAGGGCAGGATAAAATGGAGTATACAATATTCCCTAAATATTCATGTTGAAACATTTAGAAAGCTCTTAGATAGATCTCTCTTTTTCTAAGCTCTTTTCCTCTCAAACTATGGATGCTATTATCGATGTAAATTCTTTTCCTTTTTGGTTACATGTTTTCACGAATCGAAGAGCTTTTTCTACTTTCTCTCTCTCTCTCTTTCTCTCTCTCTGCCTCTCTCTCTTTCCCTCCCTCCCTCTCTATCTAT